GGGACGGGGGACGGGGGACGGCGGGGCCTGGGAGAAGCGGCAGAGGGGTGGTGCGGGGGTAAATCTGAAACGCGGTGCGTTGGTAGTAGTTCTGTTCTTGAGCTTTGACCGGTTAAGGCAGCTGGTGACTTAATTTTTGTGGAGAAGGCAAAAGTATTTCTCTCTCCTTTCTGTTTCGCCATCTGCCTGGAGTTCAGTCAACTTAAAGCCAAATGGGAAAACCCACCGCTTTGGAAAGTGTCTCCTCAGCTACATTTTCAGGGGCATTCTCTAATTTTATTACGCGTTCTTTGAGTCCAAACTAACAATAAGCTTTTTGTCTGACTTTCAGGAGCTGAAGACATACAACTTCCCAGCTGGAAGTCTAAAGACCCAGCATTTATTAGCATTAAATGAAAAATGCTTTGTATTTCACTCCTATATGTGAACCCTTAAAAAAATCAGTCATGGTAACTGATAGACGTGACTGCATTTATCTCCTTTCTTCTGTATAATCCTGAGATTGTCATTATTGCTTGTTAAATATACGCCATAATATGCCACTTAAAATTGTGCAGCTGTGGAGTGAGCTACAAAGCTCGCTCGTGCTATTTCCAGTCTGCAGCTGCAGTGCTTACAATGTGGCTTTTCGATTCTTCTCTGCTTGGTGGTCATCTTTCTGAGTTTCTCATGCTTCCTCCTCCTTCTCTCGTCAGTTCTCACCTCGCTCCCCCCGTGTGCTCTGTGCCGTTGCTGTCTTGCAAGGATTGAGGGTACAGGGCTCTCGTTTCCAGAGCCTCGCGCTCTTTCGTGTAAAGTGATTCTTGTACCGGGCCAGTAGGAAGCTGAAGAGGATCTGATCTGAGTTACAGATGTGTTTTAAGCTGTAATAAAATGAGCAGGAAAATGACGGTGATGTTGAAAATATTCTCTGCTCTTCCTTGCATGTTGCACTTTAGGACGGTTTTACTTGCGGTGCCTCTAAGCCCTGTGATTTGTGCTGCTTTATACTGTGCCCAGTAAGGGATGCTTTTTGTTGTCGGTGCTGCGGTGGGTGCTGATGGTAGCTGTCTGTATGCTTTTGCTGATTACCGTCGTTGGTAGAGGGGTCTACACAGTGTTTGTGTTGGAAATACACCTGGGGGCAATGGGATAGTGTTTGTTGTGTTGTGTGGATGGAGAAGACCTTCACCCGAGCCTGAAGGGACCGTCTCTGATTTCAGGAAGGCACAGAGGAAGACTTGCTGGCTTGTCGGTGCCCTGAGTGCTCCTCTGAGAGTCTCAAACCATAACTTGGTACTTGCTGTTGTGACAAAAGCTTTAATTTGCTTGCAGCTTTACTTTGAAAGTTCCTAGTGTGTAGTAGTTATACTATTTATTTATCAATGTCTATTCCTTGCTCTTCATGATTATCTTCTTACGTTGGCTGTGTTACACAGCAAGCGCTTCCTATCTGGACAGACTGGGATATGTTTGTAAACCAGAGCGTGGCCGGAGAGAACCTGGGTGAAAGGAGTTTTGCAGAGGAGTGGTCTAGCGACTAGAGCGAGGCGTTGGGTGCTGCCCCTGGCCTGCCGCTGCTTTACGGTGTGACTTCGGGCAAGTTGTCCAGCCTCCTCCTCTCTTCAGCCTCCCCATCCTGAAATATGGTTAAAAGTTAATATAAAAAAATGAGTTGGGACCTTTCATTTGAAGATGCTATAGAAGGGGAAAACTATTCCCTTGATGTTCCTTAGGAGAAACAGGCTCGGGGAAGACCACTCAGATCCCTCAGTACCTCTACGAAGCAGGAATTGGCCGCCAAGGCATCATTGCTGTGACCCAGCCTCGCAGAGTAGCAGCTATATCCTTAGCTACCAGAGTCTCGGATGAGAAGAAGACAGAGCTGGGGAAATTGGTAGGTTCTTTACAAAGTCTTCAGAGAGTTTGTTTAGTACTGCAGTGCCAATGGGACTCTATCAGGGCTTAATGGGTAAGATAAAAAACAGCCACAGGGTAATAGGTAGTCTTCATTTAATAATATGCCTGCGTGGAAAAAAATGGCTTTTTACCTCCTTCTGGGGCTCGGGGGGGCAAGTTTGACTCTGTCTCTGTGGTATTTTACTTCTTGATTATCGTCTGTGTTCCTCCATTTGAAAAAATACTGGTTAATGAATAAAAAAAAATATTGTGCTCTCTTCCATTGCTCCCTGTATCAAAAGTTACCGGCAAGGAGAGCAGAGTGCTGGATCTGGGCAGATCTGTGAATCTGTGGGAGAAAAGTGGAGGAGAAAGACTTCCCCTACGTAAAGTCTTTGGAGAGCATGGAGCAGTTTCTAGCAGGGGAGGAAGGAAAGGAAACTTGGAGCATTTGTGATGGACTTCTAGTTGGGAAAAAGCCAGCTGGGATACGGTGTTGGGAGCTTCCTTTAGGTGGATTATTAGATTTCTAAGACTAACTGCTCACGGACTGCAAATACACCGTTACGCTTTCCTGAGTCTCCTTGGAGTTCTAGTTGGCTATGTGCGATGCTTTGGCCAGAGTGCTTTGTAGTCCGTCCTTGTGGTACGATGGCAATGAGAAATGCAAGTAACTTTGTGCTTGTACTTTCTGTAACGATCACTTCCATAGGTTGGCTATACTGTACGCTTCGACGATCTTACGTCTGATGAAACTAGAATCAAGTTTTTAACAGATGGAATGCTGCTCCGTGAAGCTATTGGGGACCCTATGCTGCGGAAGTACAGCGTTGTCATCCTGGATGAAGCCCACGAGAGGACAATCCATACTGATGTACTCTTTGGAGTGGTGAAAGCTGCACAAACGAAACGGAAGGAACTGGGCAAACTGCCACTAAAAGTATGTGCGCCTAGGATGGCAGCAAAGGGGAGGGATGGGGCTTGGACCCTGAGCGCTATGAGTATCTCCTGGGGTTTTCCAGAGTGTTTGGAATTTCAACCTCCACTGTTTTCCTGTTCCTAAAAAGCCCCTTTAAGTCTGGATAGAACTTATGGTGTGTGGGCCTGATAGGACACATCTGAACAAGGTATCTGGTCACATCCATGCTGCCTTTTTTCATAAGAGCCCCTCGGGTGTGAGCTATAGACTAGACGTGGTGTTTGGGGAGGTTTTCGTACTGTTGCTGAGAGCACCCTGGATACAGGAGCTCTGATATGACAGCTGTGTGACGTGCTCACACTGGGGAAGGAGATTGCATGTGCGTGTCAGGTGCACAAGAATTTATGTGAGTACATGATGAAGCGTGTAAGAGCATGTTGGTTTTGATGGGGAAGGCATGTAGGGGACTGGTAGGGTCCTAGCACTGTGTCGTTCAACAGACCATTGTGCAGCCTAGCTTTGTGGGTACTCGGATCTGTTTATTAAATGTTGGAGGAGAATTTTAACACGTCTTCACTCACTTTATCGTACCAACACTTTATGCTTGTGTGACACCAAAGCTGATGGCTTTAACAAGGAAATATCACTCTCTCCTGTCCCAAACTCTGTGTGCTTTTTGCTGTTCTGCGCATATATCTCAGTCTCGGGAAGCTGACTTTTGGCTAGTCCTGACTGGTAAGTGTCCTGCTCGGTCTAAACTGCAGTGCTAACCCATCTTATGCTCACATTGAAGGTGATCATCATGTCAGCTACGATGGATGTTGACCAGTTCTCCCAGTACTTCAGTGGAGCTCCTGTTCTCTATTTAGAAGGCCGGCAACATCCCATTCAGGTCTTTTACACCAAGCAGCCTCAGAGTGATTACCTCCAAGCAGCACTGGTGTCAGTCTTCCAGATCCACCAGGTATGGTGGTCTTGTCAGGTTTGCGCCTCCCCGGGGCCGTGGGTTGTTGGTTGGGGGGGCTCACAGGTTGCTATGGCAGAAGACGTGGCTGGAGCTTGATGCTGCCAAATCAGAGATATCCCTGAGGTGCTCCACTGCATCGTCCAGGAAAAGCGGATGGCTGGGGAGTGTGCTGGGTTAGTGAGTTGGATTGGCTCAAGGGAGGGGTTGACAAACGCTGGTGTTATTCCAGAAGTGGAAAGATTGGAAGTGGTCAACTGTAAGGAGTCTTAGCTTGTGGCGGGAAATCCAGGCATAAGCGAACAGTAGTGTGAAGACAGTTCTAATTTACTGGCAAAGTGTAACCACAGAGCAAGTAGAGATCTATTAAAATAACAGCTCATAGGCATTTTGTGACTAGATGTTTGAATGTAAAACTGCCAGATGGTTAGGTCATTTAATTAAACTGTTTATTACCCTGCATTTAATGCTTTGAAGATGCTGCTGCTGTTAGGATTTTGGGACTTGTACATCAAGGCTGGAGTCAAAAGGAGACTGCTAAGCGAAGATCTCTGATGTCAGTTCATACCAAATACCCACATGTTCCTCTCACCTGAGTTTTCTTTGTTTACTGGCTTGTACCTGGGTGCTTGCTGACTCTCTTAAGTAGACATGTGGCTTTAAATGATTTCTCCATCCCGTTAAGGCTCAGTCCTGCAAAATGCAGTTTACCCTTCCCCTCCAGTGAATCCATTGGGAACTTCAGGCTGTTGTGTACGTTGCACAGCATGTGTGTCTTTTCTTTCTTCCTTACCTGCTTTGCTGACTTGCTGTCAGGACAACATCTCATTACAACCTCGGTACTCCCTCCCTGTCCAAACCATCTTAACTTCCCACTTGCTTTTTCCTCTGGCTCCAGGAAGCACCCTCTTCTCAGGACATCCTGGTGTTTCTGACTGGTCAGGAAGAAATTGAAGCAATGACCAAAACCTGTCGAGACATTGCCAAGCATCTCCCTGATGGCTGCCCACAGATGGTGGTGATGCCTCTTTACGCTTCTCTGCCCTACTCTCAGCAACTCCGTGTCTTTCAGGCTGCCCCCAAGGTGAGGCAATATGATGGGTAAACAGGATGAGTTTGTCTGTTTGCTTGCATGAGTGTTTGGAAGAAACGTGGACCTTAAGGGGTTAAAGTAGTCTGTACTGATAGTAAGTAACAGTCTCCACTGTCTACTGACTTTAGGCTGAATGGTTCCAGTGTGATACAAGATGATGCAACTGGGATGGTATTAACAGATACATACGAGAATTCATCTGGGATCATAAAAAGAAGGAAGGATTAGGGGGAGTGAAAAGGGCAGAGGAATTCAAATTTCCCCCATTTCATAGGCATTTTATGTCCCTATCGCAAAAAAGCTGCAGCAGTTAATGGGCTAGCCAAATACTAAGAAAGCTAAAAAGCTGGGCATATTTGGCAGGGCCGTAAGAAAAGGAAATTGTGCTGCCTCAGGCCCTTTTGTACCTATTCAGCAGATAAACAAGAATTCAGGTCTTGTGCTTGTGCCAGAAATGAAATCAAAATGGTTTAAAGACATATTGCTAACAGCTGTCCCGGGTGGTGTATTTTGTTGCAAGAAGTGTGAGCGCATGCTTTAGAAACTCATTAGGGACTAGAGATTATCTTGATTTACGAGAGCTGGCGTAGCGAGCATGGTATGTGGTCGTAGCATGCTGCAATGGTACGTAGGCTTGGGCCACGCTGGCCAAAAGTAGTGGCGTTTCTTCATTGCACATAATCTAAAATGGCTTTTGACTGGCTTTAGTTTGCTCTTCCTTCCAGGGCTGTCGCAAAGTGATCCTCTCCACCAACATCGCAGAAACCTCCATCACCATTGCGGGAATAAAATACGTTGTGGACACAGGCATGGTCAAAGCAAAGAAGTACAGCCCGGGTGAGGAATTCTAAGGAACGATGCAGAGATTGTTTTCAGTTTTGTAAAAGTCATTTGAGGCAATGAGCCCTGCCGAGACCTGATTTAAAACACCCTCTGCACTGTCTAAATTAATGTCCTAGGTTTTAGGTGTGGGTTTGAGGGGGGGTTTTTGAGTACCAGCAATGCAGGGGTAAAAATCTGTCAAATGAATCTTCTCTTCGTGGACACAGTGCGTGATAATTACCTTTGCTTGGGGGTGCTAAACCAAGTGAAGTCTGCGCAGTATTTGGATGGCAGACTGGGATTTTTTGTTGTTAATCCTACAACGTTACGTTTTTCAAAGCTGTGTGTTACACAGACATTGACTGAAGCGATGCTTTTCCATACATAGAAATCGGTCTGGAAGTGTTGGCAGTCCAGCGGGTGTCGAAGGCCCAGGCTTGGCAACGAACAGGGAGAGCAGGGCGAGAGGACAGTGGGGTCTGTTACCGGCTCTACACAGAGGATGAGTTTGAGAAGTTTGACAAAATGACAATACCTGAGATACAGAGGTGAGAAAAGAACCCTGACACCGTCACACTTCTTGTCACACCTCTTTTATGTACTGTTAGAAATGGAACTGTGTAAAGAACTGAACAGCAAAACTAGACCTAGGGTCTGACTGGTTGACTTTTAAGAAAAATAAACTCTGGAGACTAAACAGAAAAACAAGGAAGCGTTTGCTCAGGGTGGACGTTTGGGCTCTGAGTCTCCAAACACGCATGGGCAATAGTTCTCTTGACTTTCCTCCAAATCTTGCCTCGCCTCCTACCCTTTGTGGTTTAGGAAGTAAGGCTTCACCAGCCAGCGTTGGACTAGTTTCTGTCAAGTTGCAGCACAGATCTGAGGACTCCATCTCAGCTTACAGGCAACTAAAAGAAAAGAAAAAAATAAAAAAAAAAGAAGAGAACAATCTCGGTTGTTTTTTCTGCCTATGCAGGTGTAATCTGGCCAGCGTGATGCTTCAGCTCCTGGCCCTGAGAATTCCCAATGTGCTCACCTTTGACTTCATGTCCAAACCGTCTCCTGGTAAGTCGTTACAAAGGCAGCCTTGGAAAAAACTGACAAATGAGTCACTGAGGAATTGCTTAAAAATAATGTCTTCAGGCCAGCCAGAGTGTGGAAGGTCAGGGCTGTAAAAGGGGACCTGTCTCGCTCTGCTGCATCTTCTCCTGGTGGTCCAGAAGTCTCAGATTCATTCCCTGCTCATTGCTTTTGCTCAGCCTCATCAGAGCAGCCATGGTTATGGCAGGGAGCGGGGGAGTCCAGCTTCCAAACAGAGCAGGGAGCAGTTTTGAGTCATAAAGAACATGAAGGTGGGCCTTAACTGCCAAGGAAAGCCATGGAGAATCTCACGCGCCTTCTGCTCAATGCTAGAGATGGCAGCTTTAGTTTTGCCTCTGTTTTTGCTGCTTAAATTGGAAAAGGCAATTGTTCTACTGGATAGAGGGGGATAAACCACAGTTTGGGGCACTGATTTCTCTAAACAGAAAGTACTTGTCCCTCTGGCCAGGGCACAGAGGTAGTGGTGGTACCAGCTGATCCTTCACATCCCTGTCAGTGCCAGCCAGGAGGCCTCACAGCCTGAACCTTCTTGTTTTGACAGATGCTATTCAAGCAGCGATTGAGCAGCTGGACCTGCTGGGAGCTGTGGAGCGAAAGGATGATCAGCTTGTTCTAACCCCCTTGGGAAGGAAGATGGCAGCCTTTCCACTGGAACCAAAGTTCTCTAAAGTAAAAACTACAGAAAAATTGGCTAATTTTTCTCTCATGTACTCTTCCCAGTACCATTGGCATTTCTCTTTCAAGCTCCTTGAACAAGGTCTGGAATTTGGGGTGACTGCAGCTGTACTAGTATATTTGCAGTACGTTAATGAAGCACAGCTTTATTTCCAACAGCTGTGCTGCTTTGCTTGTCATTTGTTGTTAAATTCAGGGAGATTTTTTTAAAAGATAATTTCTTTCCTCTGGCACCTCTGAAGCTGAAACAAGGCTAATTCCCTTGCAGTTTCCAGGATTGCTGGCAGCGCTGCCATGAAGTGGCATGAGTGGCACTTTCATGAAGTGTGTGATGCTGTCATTGATTTTAGTCACCATGTTTGTACTGTATATGAACTGGCCGGTCTCAGGAGAGGGCGTTGCTGTTAAAGGTGCTTGGTGAGCCCATAAGAGGATTTACAGTTGTCTCTAGGCCCAACTGTTTATGAAATTGTCCTAAGCAATGCTCGGTAAAGTTCCTGGGCTGCCAGTGAGCAGAAAAGTCTGCCCATCTGGAGTGGATTTGGTCAACTAAAAGTCAGTTTTGTTCTGTGATTTGCAGACCATCCTCCTGTCCCCCAAGTTCCACTGTACAGAAGAGATCCTGACCATCGTGTCGCTGTTATCAGTGGACAGTGTCCTCCACAATCCCCCCGCCCGGCGGGATGAAGTGCAATCCGTCAGAAAGAAATTCATCTCCAGTGAGGGGGATCATCTTACCTTGCTCAGCCTGTACAGGGCCTTCAAAAATGTCAGTGGCAACAAGGTAGGATGCTCTGAGGACACCAGGGCTGTCTGGGCTTATGGTGGGGAGGAGCTTTTCTGGCATACAGCAAAGTGACATCCGCATCCTTCACGGCTGATGCAATATGCATCCTTCCAAAGCAATGAGAAGAGAGGACTTACTCATCCTGTACCATTGGGTAATTGGAGAAGCTGTTCAAGTGCCGAAGGTTCCCCCAGAGGCTGTAGCAAAACTGATTATCAAAAGCTTCATAGAATCGTTTAGGTTGGATAACCTTTAGGATCATCAAGTCCAACCGTTAACCCAGCACTGCCAAGTCCACCACTAAACCATGTCCCTAAGCACCACGTCTACCCGTCTTTTAAATACCTCCAGGGATGGGGACTCAACCACTGCCCTGGGCAGCCTGTGCCAGGGCCTGACAGCCCTTTCTGTGAAGAAATTTTTCTAATGTCCAACCTAAACCTCCCCTGGTGCAACTGAAGGCCATTTCCTCTTGTCCCATTGCGTGTTACTTGGGAAAAGAGACCAACCCCCACCTCACTACAGCCTCCTTTCAGGTAGTTGTAGGGAGCGATAAGGTCTCCCCTCAGCCTCCTCTTCTCCAGGCTGAACAACACCAGTTCCCTCAGCCATGAGCCCAGTTCTGTAATTGGAGCCAGGTCTCTTCCTTCCCTGGTTCCAGCTGGAAACAGGAGGGAGTGGGAGAGTGTTGAGACTTGCTGATAAATGCCCTAGACATGCTGTTGGCAGGATTCATTGCAAAAACACTGAGCATATTTACAAGCAGATTTTGATTTATCCTACCCTATAAACTCCTCAGTTTGACTTGTAGGTCTGTAGACTCGTGTACCCCATTCCTTGCAGCATCTGTCATTCTTACATTCTTTGTTCTCACCACCTGTAGGATAGCAAGTGCTGTTTCGCAGCACTCTGTGACCTTGCAGAGCGATTCTGAGTGGGAAGAGAACAACAACATGCCGTTTCTTGGCACTGTTGGAGGGCGTGTAGACAGAGGGGAGTAATTGGGTAGAAATACGACAAGGAAATGGGTTAGCACCTTTTCTCTGAGAAAGACTGTGTCTTTGGAGGATTCTGCTTTTCATGGTATCCAAAGATTGCCATGCTGCTTGGGTGAAGAAACAGCCTCTTCTAACTCCTGGTGTCTCTGCTGCAGGAATGGTGCAAAGAGAACTTTGTCAACAGCAGGAACATGATGCTTGTGTCAGACGTCAGAGCTCAGCTCAGGGACATTTGTGTAAAGGTAACTTGTTGCCATATTTTATTTCTCTGTTTCACCTGTTTGTATTTTTCTGTTTGTCCCCGAACTAATTTTGCTGTGCACCAAGTCCCAGGAGTGAGAAAATGTGGTTTTGTTTTCACTGTCCCATGAATAGTCAGGTAAAGTTCCTGACTCTGCAGCTGCATCCCAAAATCTCAGAGCTGCAGGGCTCAGTGGGTTGAGGAAAGGTGAAGAGACAAGGGGAGCTCTGGGAAGGCTTCTTGGGTAAAGGACAGTTTTTCCTAAGGGATTTTGCTGCTCTAGTGTAGATGTGACTGTGCTACGTGTGCCACTGAGTGACGTCAGCCTCAGCAGGCGTGCTGGCTGGCTTCTTCACAGAGTCAGGCGTTCAATTTAACAGCAGCTTTCACATCAGCGCTGTTCCTGCCAGTTACAGAGCGTAAGGCGCGGCGTGAGAGCTGCTGCTGAATTGTTTGCAGCCTGTACGTGACATGGGAGCTGCCGTTTGGCACCCCTGTCTCGCTGTGAACGCTAGTTGGCCTAAAACTCACTTGTAGAAGGAGAGTCTCGATCCATTTTGCGGCTCATCTTGTGCTTGCTATTAGTCTGGATTAGCCTAACATCTACCTGAGCTGAATTCCTAGTGGTCCTTTTATATTTCCCATGCTAGCAGGGTTTCTGCCACAATATCGCCTGCCTCGGAAGCCCACTAAAATGGGGCTGTGTTTCCCCCTGAGGGTGCACGTACACGCTTGCTTACTCTTGTGTCTCTCGCTGCTGAACAGCTCTCGATGCCGATCGAGTCCTCCCGCTCAGACACTGGAAACATCCGCCGCTGCCTGGCTCACAGCCTCTTCATGAACGCCGCGGAGCTGCAGCCGGACGGCACCTACAGCACCGTGGACTCTCACCAGTTGGTGGCCATCCACCCCTCGTCCGTGCTCTTCCACTGCAAGCCAGCCTGCGTGGTTTACAACGGGCTGCTTCACACCAACAAGCGCTACATGCGGGACCTGTGCGTGGTGGACGCGGACTGGCTGTATGATGCGGCGCCTGACTATTTCCGCAGGAAGCTCCGAACGGCCAAGAACTGACCGGTGGGTCTGGGACCAACAGGGCCGGGGTTTTTAGGCTCGCCCTAAAAGACTGGTTTTTTTGTAATGAATATACGGGAGCAGTAGAGCTTTGCCTTGCCAGTCAGGTAAAAACCTTAGAGGAAAATGGCTTCTCCATGAGAGCCAGACCTCACAAGTCTCCGTGGCTTAGAACAATCATCCTTTTTAACAGTTAATCTGTAAAAGGGGAAGGTAGTATGTGCTCTGTGCACGTGTGTATGTGTGCGTGATAAATCTATACTGGGGGAGGAAAGGCGCTGGTATCAGATTCCAGTTTTTAACACTTACTGAAGTTTAACAGGCCTGTATATGAGGAATTGACATCCTAAGAGCTCTTCTGAGCAGACTTGGTATTTTTGATGATCATGCTTGTATCCTTAGCAGGTTTTATTGGGAAAAAAGGAGAAAAAAGTTTTAAATGTCTACATACAGGGAAAAACGCCTTTTTTTTTACTATTTCTAGAAGGGAGGTGCTACTGTCTTTTACCTCATCAAACATCTTTCTGCCTGCGTGTCATGTTCACCGTCTTATTGGGGACCATGCGAAGGCCAGTGATGGGAATGCCTGCTTGGAGAAGGTCTTCACAGCTTTGCGTCTAAGCCTCAGGGGCTGGCACTGGTTTCTTGGAGAGGTTGTCCAGCCGCCTGCATGTTTGGCGTCATCTTCGTTCACCCTTTTGCTGTTAGGGCATGTTGTTCCTCAGCAAATACTTCTGGCTTTTCTGACTCTTGTCCGTGCACTTTTAGCTTTGGAGTTGGCACGCCATCCCCCACAGCTAATCAGGCCAGCTTGAGGAAGGCTCAGCAAAACGAGGATGAAGATGCGGTTTAGAGATTGGGCTTCTTCAGAGGTCCTTGATTCATCAAATGTTTGCGTCTTCTGCTCTGATACCAGTGCTTTTCCCCCTTCTGCCTCCCCCAACCCTGTCCCAGTTACACTTTGGTTTTCCATTAGAAGTTTGGAGCTTGACATTGTCAAGAACCACAGATCTACCATTAGTATCTATTATTTGGGTTTTTTCTTCCATATTCCCTTGGCATCTACCGATCTGGCTTTTTCCTGTTGGAGAACAGTGGCAATACCAAACTTAATCGTCTTTTTAAATACTGGAATGAAGACACTAGTGCCACTCCAAAAGGAAAACTTGTTCTTTAATGTGAAGGAAGTGGATTTATTCCATTACCACTGTGTGTTGGTGGGGGGAAAAAATAAGTTGCTTTTAAATTATATCCTAAGTACTTCTAAAATAACCTCTCTGGGAGAGGTAACTTGCAGTTTCAACAGAGTCTGTTGACGCAGTAATTTATACAGATTTTTGGATGAGTTGAACTAAAGCAGGTTAGGTGCCTGAAAGGGTGGGAGAGGAAGCTGTTCCGCACACGCAGTGCCACTGCGTAGCGCAGTGGGGTCAGTTTACGTGGGCTGTGATGGGATTGTGGTGTTCAGTCCTTGTATCCTTCAAATGGCAACTTTGGGAAAAAAAAAAGCTTATAACACATTAATAGGGCTGCTCAGGGATGCAGTCATATTGGCTGTTAGCAAGCCCTCATTCACTGCATTTGCTTGGGGAAAGCTGCTGGCTTTGCTTGTGATCTGTGGGCACAAGCTGCGTTTGCCATGTAATAATTTGTCCTTTCTGGTTACACAACACATTGTAACATGTCTTTTCTTTGGGCTCCAGTATTGGCTTACCTTGGTTTTCTCTGAAAACTGGAGCAAATACCTCTTTTGCTCTTTTTTCTTACTTTTTTTTTTTTTTTTTTTAACTGCAACGTCACTTGTGCTGATCTGCAAATTGCTGTCTCCCAAAGAGTGTAAGTAGGTACCCGGCGTACCTGGAACGGTCTCACCTCTCAGCCTGCTCCTCGGAAGGGTGATACGGAGTGTCTGCAGGGGCGCAGTGGACAGGGACGCACATCCCCTTGTCGTGCCTCTTTGCAATGTTGTTCTTTAGTGGTTTGAAAAAAAGAAGAAAAATAAAAAACAGTGAGTGGGGCACAGGCAAAACTTGCCACTTTTGTAAGTATGACCAGCTGCAGTTTGGGATTGGTATTTCAAGGGCACGCATTTATTTCAATTGTTCTCACTCACGAATTGCAGGGAATTATCAAAGCACTGTATTTCTTTGTTTTCTCTGAAAAGTGGAGCAAATTCCTTTTTTGCTCTTTTTTCTTTCTTTTTTTTTTTTTTTTTTTAACTGCAACGTCACTTGTGCTGATCTGCAAATTGCTGTCTCCCAAAGAGTGTAAGTAGGTACCCGGCGTACCTGGAACGGTCTCACCTCTCAGCCTGCTCCTCGGAAGGGTGATACGGAGTGTCTGCAGGGGCGCAGTGGACAGGGACGCACATCCCCTTGTCGTGCCTCTTTGCAATGTTGTTCTTTAGTGGTTTGAAAAAAAGAAGAAAAATAAAAAACAGTGAGTGGGGCACAGGCAAAACTTGCCACTTTTGTAAGTATGACCAGCTGCAGTTTGGGATTGGTATTTCAAGGGCACGCATTTATTTCAATTGTTCTCACTCACGAATTGCAGGGAATTATCAAAGCACTGTATATATCTGTTTCGTGGTTTTATAGACTGCATCTGTAGGGGAAAATGGAATATAAGCACATTTGGTTTAGGCAGTCTAATTTAACAGTCAGTTTAAGGGAGGGGATGGGTGTTTATTTAGAACTGATTTGTATATTTTTCCCAAAATAAAGAAGCGATGGCAAAAATCCAGGTCCTGGGTGGTGTTTTGTGGGACACGAAGGCTGCGTGGATGGAAGAAATGATCACAGGAGGTTCAGGTACAAGTCCCAGCGTTTTCAGTTCTTGTGGGAGCGTCTTCATTTTAAGCAGTCTGGGGTGTGTGTGTGCGGATGTTAAAGACAAGACGTTAAGGTGGGTCAGTGAATCTGTGCTTTGCCTGCAGAACGGCCCCCATCATCACGTGTGCGGTGCTCAAACACCGGTGTGGAGCTGGGGGTAGAAATCCTGGTCCTTCGATGCGATGGGGCGCTATCGATGCGATGGGGCGCTATCGATGCGATGGGGCGCTATCGATGCTCTCCTGCTACCGCCCTGTGGTGCGCAGCAACGGGCCTTTCGTGCTTCTGCTCAAGAGAGGGCAATAGTGCCGGCTTTTGGACAAAGGAACGCTTCATGCCAGGAAACAGCTTGCCTTGGTCAATCTTCCCTCTGAAAGATTTATTGTTAAAGGAGAAAAAAAACCAAAACCCCTTTTTTCTTTTTCCAAGCCGGAAAGCTGACTATTCTGCTGAGGAGCGGGGCGATGTACGGGGGCAAAGCTTTCACCACGTATGCTGCTTTTTCTTGGCGCAGCCGGGAGGGAAGCACCGGCCTTTTTTCCACACCCCTAAAGCTTCCCTGAGCACCGGGGCGGGGAGGCGGCCGGTCCTGGTGCTCCGTACGTGCCGTCCCTGCCCCCTCCTCCTGTCCTCGCTTTTTAATGCTAAGTTAAAATAGTCGTGAGGGAACCTTTTGCGGTTCCCTTCTGCCGGGGCCGGGATTCGAACCCGCGG